GGGGATAGAGCGTCAGCCTGCGGACTGAAAGGTCCCAGGTTCGATTCCGGTCAAGGGCATGTACCTTGGTTGTGGGCACATCCCCAGGAGGAGGTGTGCAGGAGGCAGCTGATCGATGTTCCTCTCTCGTCGATGTTTCTAACTCTCTATCCCTCTCCCTTCCTCTCTAAAAAATCAATTAAATATATTTTAAAAAAATAAAAGAATCACTTTTATCTGTGATATAATTGTATATCTTTAAAGCCCCGTTGACCCTTAACACGTGTTTGAACTTCGAGGGCCCACTAATATTCAGCTGGTTTTCTTGCTTTTGTCTTGTTTTGTTTTGAGTAAATACCCGGTGTTTCCGATCCGCAGCTGGGAGTGTACGGATGCGGGGACCTGCTGTGCGCCCTGGTCCTCAGCAGTGTATGTGGGGGTGGAGCACCTGCGGGGCCGGTGCCCACGGAGGTCCTGGACCAAGCCCCCGAGGATGCCCAGGGGCAACTTAAGTTTTGGGGGGTCAAAGTTATAGATATATTTTTCGACTGCACGGGCGTTGGCACCCCAAAGCCCCTGCTATTCAAAGGTCAACCACATCACCAAGGGAAGTTTTCAGAAGCCCCACCGCACATTCTGGAAGAGCCCAGGCCAACAATATACGGGGGCTGGCAGCCGACGGGACGCGAGTGGAGCAGGGACAGAGGAATAAATAATGGAGCCAGAGCGGGCCCTGGCGGAGCTAGGCATTGAGGCATCTGACTGGCTCAGCCTCTCCCCATGCTCGAGGGAAGGGGAAGTTCTTAGGTCCCCTCGCTCTCCATGTAGCCACCCTCCCCATTTCTGGATGCCCCTGTCTCGCCTCAGCCTTGGCCTCCGTTATTTGCACCCATCACTCTGGCCCTCGCTCGCCCACCCCTGGGCCCCAGAGGGGGCCCCATATCTGGGTAGCTGCCATTTCCCAGCCACAGCCTCACGGGCCACATCAGCTGTCTCAGCAGCGTGAGCGCTCCCCAAAGGCTGGCCTCACAGCAGCCAGTGAGGAGCTGAGGCCCGAGGGGTGGGCTGGCCAGGTCCGTGGTTTTGTCCTGTCGGGCCAGCGTTCAGGGTCTCCCTCCGCCACCTGGGGAAGGAGGGTGCATGGGAGAAAATGACGGTATCGCTTGTCACACAGCTGCCCTGACCCCCAGCAGGCCCTGTCATCAGGAAAGGAGGCACACCCAGCGGGTGCAGCCATGCGTCTGGCCTGGAGGAGAGGACACGAGGGCAGCGGTGTGGTGAGCTGCGCACTGTCCCCTCGATCCTCTCTCCCATTTTTGTTGGACTCACAACGGCCAAAGTCAAGGACTGCATTGCCAGCCTCCCTTGCAGCAAAGC